ATTTTGGGTTATTTCATTGTAAAATTGTAATAGTGGCTAGAATAATGAAAAGAAAACTCAAAACCACCACCGTGAGGTGGTGGCTGCCGCCACCAGCCGCCGTGTTAGGTGGCGGTGTGCTTGTTGTGTTTTGACTCGTTTGGGATGCTTGGACAAGAATGGACCAGGACCATAACAACCACCGTGAGGTGGTGGCCGCCGCCGTGAGCCACCATTGACCACCAATACTCGAGGCGGTAGTGGGTGGTGCCCGACTAGCAAAACCCTAATGGGCCTAGTGAAACCCTAATGGGCCTAATGAACCCTAATTGGCCTAAGGACTTAGCTTTTGGGCCTAATTGGGTTATGAGGGGTTGGAAACCCTATTTAGGGTTTAGAAAACCCTAATTTTAGATATATGGGCCTTGGACTTATCGGGACCCACATTTGGGCCATTGGAATGGAATTGTGAATTACACCCAATCACACCATATGACTTATCTAGTAGAGTGATGGACTTAATAGATTAAGTCCTTAATGGGTTAAGGGAGAAACACTTAACCCTAATCGTCATTTTATGTGAAAACCCTAATTTCACTTGGGCTTTATGTTGGGCCTTTCTATTGGGCTGTGGTGTTTGGGCCAATAATGGGCCATCCAAGAATAATCATATGGACTATAATATGTTGATGGGCTTTCGGGTAAGGCCCATATGAGGGTTTGGGCTCAATTTGGAAAATTGGGCCATAGTTTGGGCCTTTATGATTATAAGATATTGGGCCATTAGAAATGCCAAATGTTTGGACTAGACAAAATGGTTGGGCCTTTAAATAAGACCATGTAAAGGTTTGGGCCCAATTTGGAAATTTGGGCCATATGTTGGGCTTTGATTCCTAGTTTGACTTTTGGACCTTTGGATTGGGCCTTGGGCTTGAATCAAGCCAAGATGGGGTAATGTAGCCTGTTACTCCAAGAACTTATGGTTATGTGTTGGGACCCAATTATTAATTGGGTGATGTTTTGATATTGACAGTTCGGGAATCTGTCATCCAGCAGCTGGGGTTGTGTCTGCGAGACTTCAGCAGTGTGAGGCGAGTTACCTTCCAGTAGAAGTGGGTCTAAGGCCACAATGTTGGCCCACTAGTAGGAGGTATTTGTTAGATGATTGTCTTTGTGATAATTCTCTGGTTTGCCACTATCTGATATGTTTGATGTGCTAGGATGCTCTGTTATATATATGTTAGTAGTAGTAGGGGTGAAATAGTCCCCGGATACCGGTTGAAAGATACCGAAGGGGTAGTCAGAACCCATGCATGCCTAGTAGTACATTATTTTATGTTATTATGTGGTAGTGGTAGGGGTGAAATAGTCCCCGGTTACCGGTTGAAAGATACCGAAGGGGAGGTCAGCTCCCGGTTATCAGTTGAAAGATACCGAAGGGGATGTCAGCTCCTGGTTACTGGTTGAAAGATACCGAATGGGAGGTTAGCTCCCGGTTACCGGTTGAAAGATAACGAAGGGGAGGTCAGCTCCCGGTTACCGGTTGGAAGATACCGAAGGGGTAGGTCGGGCACCCAAATATGTCTGACAACATATTTATGTATGCTATGTTATGTTATTATGTGGTAGTGATAGGGGGTAAAACAGTCCCCGGATACCAGTTGAAAGATACCGAAGAGGTAGGTCGGGCACCCCGATATGCCTGACAGTATGTGATTGTATGGTATGTGGTATAATGGGGGAACTCACTAAGCTTCGTGCTTACGATTTTCAGTTTTGGTTTCAGGTACTTTGTTTTCAAAGGAAAGGAGTCGGCGATCGCAGCGCATCACACTATGATTTTCCGCACATGAGATCTTTGGGATTACACTCTGATATTATTTTATGATAACATGTTTTGATTACTGAGACTTTGGTCTTGACATGTGATGTTATTATGAATGTTTTTATACTGTTGGTTTTATAATAACTTAATTAAAAATGAAATTTTTGGTCTTGATTTTTGGGATGTTACAATAAAGTTTCCAACTTTATCCATTTGCATGTCCTAAACACCAACATTTCTCATCCTAGGTTAAAAATAAACCAAAAATGGAATAACTTCTTGTATAGATCAAACAGAAGGACAATGATGGACTTAATTCATTACAAAGAGTCCATAAGATCATACAAAACAAGAAAAGGATCTAGAGTTTTCCAAAACCCTAAGAAACCTTGCCAAAATAGCTAAAATCCTAGATCTAGCATGCATGGCCATAAAGGCTTGAACTTGAATACTTTCACAGCTTGGGAATGGTCATAAGAAGATAGAAACTTCAGGGTTTGCTTCCACTTGACACCAAATATGCAAATCAACTTCTTCAAGGGCATACAAAGATCATCCAAGAAGCTCAAACTGATGGAGAAGGATGAAGGAGGCTAGGGTTTTCGTTATGAGAATGGAGGTTGAAGGTAAAAGGGGAAACCCTAATTATCATATTCCTTAAATAGAGCCCAAAACCTGAGACCTATAGTTTTCTGCAATTGCGACGCCACACTGCGGTCAAGGCAAGGACCGCGCCACAACTTATCAACGTGGCCAGCACCGCGCCATTAAAGATTCACGCCACGCTTGTGCAAAAACCCTAAATCCACAATTAATTCAAATAACCTTGAAATTAACTCATACATAAAAAGTGGGTGTTACACTTTACTAGAGATTAATGATTTCAATTTCTAATATTGAATTAGGTTAGTGATGAAGTGTATAAGTAATATCATTCCTGCATTGTTCAAATCATAATGATGAAAATCTTCAATCAAGTGGAAAAAGAGTTTATCAAGCATTAACGAAGTTTTAACTTGTTTTATACTTTAAATTGGTCTCAAATCCATTAAAACTTTGATTATTAGCATCAAAGAAGTCTAAATCAACTATTATATTCATATGTTATGGTTTATAATCATTAATGAAGTTTGGATCTTGATTGGAAACTAATTGAATCTATCATATGGTTGAATATGAGCTTTAAGGGTATAAATGCCGATTTAAGAATAAAATTTGTAAAACACCAATGGATTCATTGTTTTTAACACATACATGTCTTAATAAGTTCTTAATATGATTAGTAATTTATTCATATAATCACATATGCAAATCATGCATAAAAAATTAAACTAACAACCATTTTTAAGTTTTAAAGCCTAAAAATGAAGTTTCTGAAATGGCAATTTCGATCCATTAGTGTTAATGATGATACGAATGCATAAAAAACATGTGGAATTAAGCTTATAAAGTAGCTTAACCATTTAAAACCTTTAAAAATGATGTATGAGGCATTAAAATCATATTTAATAAAGCAGGTTGTTGTTTTTGTCTTTTTTTAGTAATTTAACCATTCACACGAGCCATGTGTTATTATTTTGTAAAACATACGAGCCGTATACTATATTGTCCCCAACATACAAAACCTTTGTAACTTGACATTGGGGCATCGAGAAGGCATCATGTCATTTCCATTAATATCATAAGTACGGGTTATGCATGCCTAAGAGTTATACAACAACAGACATATGTAATCCCATTAAGATATGGTAAGAGGAAGTAAATGTTGACAATCATGCTTCACAGATAGAGTGACCACGTCACATAGATGACCTCCCGCATGAGCCCAAAAACGAGAACCTGTAAAATAGGCAATACAAGGTAGCGTAAGTAAAGTGGGTAGTAAAAACAAAGCATGGTCATAACAACAACAGATGATTCCGAGAGCTGCAAATAAGGCAACCAAAAGGGGAAAAAGAAAAGAAGGTGTGTGTGTGTGTGTGGGGGGGGGGGGGGGGGGGGAGGGGTTAGTCAGTATAAGCATAAAGAAAAGTATGAAGATAAATCAGAAAACAAACATATAAAGTACGAAGATAAATTAGAAAACAAATATATAAGCTGAGAAAATGTATTAACAACAATAATAATAACATAACTAAATAAATAAAAACCTAAACGGATGGTAGGTTACTCATCTATCCCAATGTTCAGTCTCCATACCCTTCTATATGATTTAAGAGTTAAAATGAGTCAAATAGGTTGAGGATACTTGTGGACCACTTATGGTTGATTCAATGTAACAACCCTAGAATATTTGTTATTTAATAGATGATCTTTGAATCTCCGATCATTATTGGAAGTGAAATCGTGTGTCATCTAAGCAAAGATAAACACTAACACCAAGTAAACCGAATAAACTTGCAAATAAATTTTGCGAAATTTGTATACATTCGTGAAGGTATACGATCTCATACTCCCTAATAAATAAAGAACTTTTTTGCCACATGTCATTCTCTAATGAGTTTTGACACTTGTCATTTTATGATAATTTTTAAATAAATAATATCCACATTTCAATTTATGGTTTTTTCTAATTTTTAAAATTAAAAAGCCACATAATACTTATAGTTTATATATGTAAAGTATCAAATGTAATAAATATTATACTAAATTGCAGTTAATATGTTTTCTTCATTCCTTATTTCAAAATTTTATTTTAAAAAATAATTATTATTTATGTTTTAATATTTTATTTTTTTAAATCAATCCGTGTAATACATGGATTTTACACGTAGTATGAATATTTAAAATAAAACAACATTTTCTACTTGGATCAAAGCAATGCTATATACTTATGGATTTACTTGATGTTGATGTATTTTCATTGTTCAAAGAAGAAACACGTTCGCGAAAATATGTTGCCCTCCCTCCTAGAGGTTAAGAGTTCAAGTCTCATTGGAGACATAGTTGATATTATGATTAGTTTAGGAGTGGTGTAGATTTGCCATTCTAAAAAAAAAAATTTAACCTAAATTGTTTCACGAAATTAATTTTCGTGTCAGGAAAAAAACCAACCCGCGGATTCACATTTAACATGGTTATTTATTTATTTTCTTATATTACATATATATTAATATTAATATTATTGATATTTTAGTGAGTAACTCTTTTTTATACGGTATAATGGAACCGGATTGGGTGTTTTAGAATCTGTGTACTCATAATTCCTTTTTTAAAGAAAAAAAAAATCTGTCCACGTGTTGCCGAGTATCGGAAAGAATCCCCGGAGCTCCGATCGACGTTCTCTCTTTAGTCTCTAGTCAGATAAAGTCGTATCTCCGATAGGTAAAACCCACCCTGCCCAACATCTACACTCTCACAAGTCACAATTAGTCCCAAGCACTCTCTTTTTGGGGTTTCGTAAATCTCCCAACTTCGCCCTTGGAAAACGACCCACTAATCACGTACTTCCCCCAATCCATTTCTATGCATCTACGCAACCAGACCTCCTACGACACCACCACTACGCGATTTCAAGCTCTAGGGTTTTCATTATCTCTGCTAATGGTCAACCGATGAACTGATTTTTAGCTTAGGTCATTCAATTTTCCATGATGGAAGTTCAAAATTCGGGAGCTGAGAGTCAAAGCCTTGACCGGAGTCAACCGATTCAGAAAACTGATGGAGGACAGGTGGGTGTCGTTGCAGATGGTGGCGGTGGAGGAGTGAAGGTTGAGGTAGGTAATGCCGTTGGAGGAGCTCAAGTGGTGAAGAGGAAGCGAGGGCGGCCGCCTAGGGCTCAGGCGAACCAGCCGTCTGCTAAGAAGATTAAAGAAGAGGATGAGGATGAAGACGTTTGTTTTATTTGCTTCGATGGTGGGAGTCTCGTGCTGTGCGATCGCCGGTTTGTGCTCATATCTTTTGCTTCATCCATACAGCTGTTATGTTCGTGTTCTTTGGGGATTTGATAAATGTCTGCATTTGTTGCACTACATGAGATGATGGGATTAGTACTTTCATTCAAAGAATTAACTTTTGTCAATCGATGATAAGATGAAGATTAGTTATGCTTTATCTGTTGGGTGCAGGGGCTGTCCAAAGGCATACCATCCGGCCTGTATCAAGCGCGATGAAGCATTTTTTCAAACCAAAGCTAAATGGAATTGCGGTATGTTTGCTGTTCATGTTTGTTACACTATTCTCTTTGTAATTCTTTGCATTTCCTTCATTATCAAAAGTTGCCCCCTCTCAATGGTACATCACGTCTTGTAGCTTTAAGGTTATGCTATTGCTAACACCCTTCGTCCTAGGGTAGTTGTAAGTTGTAACACTGTATTACCACTTATACTTTTAACCAGGAGCATTCCTTCCATGTATTTTAATCCCCTGTTGTCATATAATACTAGTAAACATGCAAGAGCACTCTTGTAAATTGCTTAACATATATTATACTGTCCTAAAAAGGAATGAACTAACTTATGGAATTAACAATAGTTATCACTATTGAGCTGTGGAGAAGGCATACTAATTAAAGCTCATCAAGGCTGACCTAAATTCAATTTCCATTCTCACACGCCTACTTCTTGAGGATGAAGAGTTTGCCTAAACATGTCATATCTATTGTAATGTTTTTCTCCATCAATATTGTGGTATTGGTCTAGCAAACCCGAATTGTGCATCTCTTTTTTGAGACTACCATTATCTGCTTGACATCATGAGATGCAAAAATTCTATACAGCAACAACAATACCTAAAATCCAATGTGAATGAGATAAGGGCCTAAGGGGCAGGTTAGTTGTATGCAGACCTCTGCTATATAAATTTGTGGGGGGGGGGGGGGGTAAGCGTATACAAGCAATAAAGCATAAATTAGGTGTACGTATAATAAACCATAAAGCAGGAACTAACAATAAGGCTAAGATAAAAGGGGGTAAATATTCTATGAAAGGCATAACCCTATATGAAAGTAACTGTGACATGTACTACTCCACCACCATGATTTTAAACCTCCACAACCTCCTATTGAAGATCATGCCTTTGGAAAGTGCCAATTCCTTCATGTTTAACCCCATGCTATACCCGGATTTGGTATCCTGTCCAACAATGTTCTACTGTATGTCCACAACAACAACAGATTTTAATGTAAATGATGCTTTTCCATGAATTAAAATTACATGTTGGGCAAGGTAGATATGAATTAGGTATCAAGGGGTAGATATAATTTAATCATTCAATCTTTATTCTTTTTAGGTTGGCATATCTGTAGCGTATGTGAGAAGACATCATATCATATGTGCTACACGTGTACTTATTCATTGTGCAAAGGGTGCAGTAAAAAGGCTGACTTTATGTGTGTGAGAGGTGATAAAGGCTTTTGTACAATATGCATGAAAACAATCACGCTCATTGAAAATAGCGCACAAGGGAAGGAAGTAAAGGTATGCAAAATCATACTTTTTCAAGATTCTTGATTTTACAGTGAAAAATCAAGATTCTTGCTTATATGTTTTCATCTGCAAGTTTTCCAGGTGGATTTTGATGACAAGACTAGTTGGGAGTATCTTTTCAAGGTATACTGGAACTACTTAAAAGGAAAGCTATCTCTAACTTTTAGTGAGATTATAGCAGCTCAAAGTCCATGGGAAAGATCCGAAACAATCCCTTCAATCGAATCAACTTCACACATCAGTGCCAGTGGTAGAAGAAGCATTACATTAGATACATCTTTTGGAAATCACGAGGCTAATAATATTTCCAAAAGTAGCAAAACATCTGAGCAAACTAATGAACCCACAAAAGAAACTCCATCTGTAGTTGAATCCAAAGAGTGGGCAAGCAAAGAGTTACTAGATTTTATTTCACACATGAAAAATGGTGACGTGTCCGTTTTATCTCAGTTTGATGTCCAGGCACTTTTGCTAGATTACATAAAAAGAAATAATCTGCGGGACCCACGAAAGAAAACCCAAATCATATGTGATACGAGGTTAAAGAATCTGTTTGGTAAACCACGTGTTGGTCATATTGAAATGTTAAAGCTTCTGGAATTACATTTTTTTCTAAAAGAGGATGATAGTTCACAGAAGAATTCAATTGAGAATAATACTGTATCTGTAAAACAAGTGGATGCAGATTGCAAGCCTGATAATATGGTGATGGTGAGTAACAAGGAACGTAGAAGTCACAGGAAGGCTGAACAACGTGTAACACAGAATAAATTGGATGAATATGCTTCGATTGATGTGCATAATATGAATTTGATATACCTGAGGCGTAATTTGATGGAGAAAATGTTTGAAGATAGTGAAAAGTTTCATGAAAAGGTTGTTGGATCGATTGTGCAAATTAGGATATCGGGTAGTGATCAGAAGGATGATATGTACAGGCTTGTGCAAGTAGTAGGTAATGCAATGGAATTTTTTTAATTTATCATCATTTGTGGGAATTATTATTACCATCTTTTATCACCTAAAAATTACAATATTGTATTTATTAGGTACGACTAAGGCGGATGTACCCTATAAAGTTGGTGATAAATTAGTTGATGTTATGCTTGAAGTATCAAATTTAGACAAGAAGGAGACTGTGCCAATTGATACAATTTCAAATCAAGAATTATCCGAGGTGACTAATTAGTTCTTCATAATAATTAATAACTAGTTTATGGTTTTTTTTTTCTTTGATAATTAGCGGGGTTTTTTTAGGATGAATGCAGACGGCTGAGAGAGAGTATAAGATGTGGACTTGTGAGATGTTTTACTGTAGTAAGTTTTTATGCCAATTTTTATTTTAAATTTTGTACCCTGTGTTGATTATGATGATGACAAGTTTTGTGGCTGTGGTTGTGGTAGGGTGAGATACAAGAAAAGGCAATGGCTCTTCAGTCACTTCTGGTTGATGATGTGAGTTATTTGGCTTCAAGATAAAAATGTGATTGCCTATTTATGGTAGAAATGTACCTGTTACCATATTTTTATTTGTTGCTTTAATTAATTGGTTTTCTTATTTTGTATAATTTAGAGAATGGAAGCCGAGATGTTGCGGCTTAATCATCTTCGGGATCGAGCAAGTGAAAAACGGCAGAAAAAGGGATATCCTTTGGTCTATTGAAATTTATTTTTGTTTATTTATTACTAAATGTATTTTTGGTATATTAATAAAAAAGAGGAAGAATGGAATTGAATTATAGGAATGATAAAATCCATCAAACATGGAATTTGAAGGATTCCGATGGAACGGAATCTCGAAAAATTCCAATTCCGTTGGAATGCCCAAAAGTGTTGGAATTCCTTGACAAATTCCACCCTTAGAGAATGTGTACAGAAACTCCAACTTCTAAAGACACCTGAGGAGCGTGAACGCAGATTACGTGAAGTCCCAGAGGTTCATACTGATCCAAAAATGAATCCTGATTATGAATCCGATGACACCGAAGAGTATTTCAACAACGAACACGGTTTGTTATTCAACACCTTTCTACAGTTTCATTTCCTTCCTACTTTGACTAACAATGTCATCAAAATCTCCAGGAGAACATCAGAAGCCCAAGTTTTCTTGGGTCACTGCCACAAACACAATCTCTCCTCAAAAGAGAGCCGAAGATCAAAATCAACCCAAAGACATGGGAACCCCCAACGTTGAGGAGGATTCCATCAAGTCTACGGAGACATCGGAAATGGAAAAAGACATGATGGAATCAAATCGCTCAGTGGAATCACCAAAAGAGGCCAATTGTAACGGTTCAACAATCCCGGAATCCAATCCCGAACCTCCTGTGAGCTCGTCGCTACCCACCATTGTAGTACCGGAATTCAAGATTGAAACTCCTGTGAGGTCATCGGTACCCACCATTGTAGTACCGGAATCCAACATTGAAACTCCTGTGAGGTCATCGGTACCCACCATTGTTGTACCGGAATTCAAGATTGAAACTCCTATGAGGTCATTGGTACCCACCATTGTTGTACCGGAATCCAAGATTGAAACTCCTGTGAGGTCATTGTTACCCACCATTGCACCGGAATCCAAGATTGAAACTCCTGTGAGCTCATCGGTACCTGCCATTGTAGTACTGGAATCCAAGATTGAAACTCCTGTGAGGTCATCAGTACCCACCATTGTATCGGAATCCAAGATTGAAACTCGTGTTAGCTCATCACTACCCACTATTGAACCGGAATCAACACATTCTTCATTTCTGTCCATGTTGGAAGTCCCATCTCCCAATGATGACATGTGGCACTACCGGGACCCGAGTGGAAACGTCCAAGGCCCGTTTTCTATGGTACAGTTGCAGCAATGGAATATCCGTGGATACTTTCCCAATGATATGAGGGTATGGGCAGGTCGAGAGGCCGATTCTGTACTTCTAAACGATGTATTGCAACAACAGTTTAATAATCCCTACAATGACCCATGGTCCGGGAATGTAGCTAGCAATGAAAAAGTCAATAATCAAATCGAGGAAGTCAATGTTCCGGAAACTTCATATGCTATGGACTCGGTCAATCTAGAAAAGTTACCCGAGTCTGATGATAATAATTACAATTTGAACTGTAACCCCCCGAATATGCCCATTTCAAGCCCGAGCCCAAGCCCAAGCCCAAGCCCGAAGGGGCTGGATACTGATATCAATCAGCATGTTTCTCAAGTTTTTCCTGTTGCAGATGAAGCCCTTGTGGATTTGCAAAGTCAATTGTTGAAGAAGGAAAGTCATGAAAATGAAAAAGACAAACAACAATCTGCACAACCTTCCGGAAACCCAAACCCAAACCCAAACCCGACCCCGAACCCGCCTACGTGGAGTACTGCTTTAAGTTTAGTGATTGGTGGGGCCCAATTACCCGAAACAAGCGATGAATGGGGTCGATATCCTCCTAAGCCCGAGGATTGGGGGTCGGCCCGGGTATCGGTTTCTCCTTTAAAGCCTCTAGAAGTATTGGATCATCAAGTTGGTAGTACTAATATGGATCAAATTATGCATCATCATTCATCGCCTCCCCAATCATCACAACCGTATCACAGTTTGCCAGCATGGCATGGACTTGGTGTTGGTGAAACCATTGAGTTTGCCACGTTGGCGGAGGAATCCGTTTCCGATCTTTTGGCGGAAGTTGATGCAATGGAATCCCGGAATGGAGTCCCGTCTCCGACATCTAGAAGGAATAGTTTTCTTGAAGATTTGTTTAATGGTTCCATGGATGATTTCAGCCCTACTGATCAAGATACAGATATGCATTTACATCGTCAATCACATCACTTCTCATTTGGCCTTGAGACTAAATCCATCGGAGCTGTTGCTATTCCAACCACAAATTCCGATCATATGGGGTTTAAATGGGCTGAGATGGGCGGTTCTGAGCTCCCACCGCCACCGCCACCGCAACCACCACCGCCTCGCCAAGACATGATCGATTTAAACGATTCCACTAGGGCTGAAACTGACGAGGGAGAAAGAGATGATCTAGTTGAAGAAAAGTCAAGAAATGGTATACTTCCACTGCCGCCACCGCCACCGCCACCGCCACTGTCTCCGCCGCCTCCACCGCCAGAATCACGTGGAGGAAGGAAGTCGAAAGGCGTTGTATCAGGTTGGCCGGGTGAACGGATAAAAGCGGTGGCAGCAAGGAAATTTAGTGGGTTTCCGGACGTGGAGGAGGAAGAAGGTGAGTTTATCCAGCCGGATGCACCACCACCACCACCACCGCCACAATCACAACCGCCGCTGCTTCCGCTGCCACTGCCGCTGACGATGGGATTTGACGTTGTGGATTCACGAAGAATGGGGTCAGAAAAGTATACAGGAAGAGCATCTCAGGGAGCCACCAGCGGAAGTAGATCCTCCCATAGCCGGAGTGTGAATGTAGGGCGGGAGTCCTCCTCCCACCATAGGAGGTCTAGTGGAGGGGACAGATATAACAACAGTACCAGCAACAGTAACAGTATCAGTAAAAGTATCAGTCCAAGAGAGAGGACACATCATGGTGAGGATTCAGGACATGGTAGAAGCAGTAGTAGAGCTTCATGGGGTAGGCAGTCTTCATTCAGTAGTGGCGGCAGTGGTGGCGGTGGCGCTGGTGGTTATTCAAGGGCGCCGCCATCGAAAGGGCAGCGTATATGTAAATTTTATGAGAGTGGGAGGTGCAAGAAGGGATCTTCATGCAGCTATCTACACCAACAAGAGAGGTAATATTTTGGATTTTGAGAGGAGGTGGTAATGATTGAAATGGTGACATGTGTTTTTTTGTATAATCAATATATAATGTAATAGTGATTATGGTGTCTGCTGTCTATATTTTGGGAGTTGTGACTCTTGCCTATGATTCAATTTACTCAAGTTAGTCACTTGTTGTACAACAAAATTGAGCCATTGATATCTTTGATTGATCTCAATGATGCTTTTGCATTCGATAATATCACCCAAACTATTGTACAGGTTTGGGTGGAAGCTTTTCTATGGTCTTTCTTTTGTGTTGTCTATTTAGATATCAGATATGTGACAAGTTTGATCAGTTTAACTTAGAATTGGGATTATATTGTATCTCCTACATATCAAATATATAAATAGAAAAATGAAACCAGCCAAAAGGATTGAAAGTTGCTTTCAAGTGTTTTAGCCAACTTTCTAAGTTCTAAATCCTTGACTTAAAACAGACTCACTAATTTTTTTGAGAAATGCTATCATTAATATCCCATTTGCTTTTTGGATCGTTTATCTTTTAATTGTAGTTAATAGATCAATAAATAATGTTTTTGATTCTCATGACACAAATGGGGTGGGGGTTTCAGCCGGGTAAAAATATATTATATCATATGTTCGTTTATTGATGGTGACATGATGTCGATTGAAATCAAGAATTATCCAATTGAAATCAACTCCAATAAATTAATGTAATAAGAGCGAAAGAAAAATTAATTGGCATATTGAGTAAATTAAAAGATAAGTGACTTTAGCAGTTAAGTATGATCTATCATGAACTTACAACTTTGAAATTGAAATTGAAATCAAAATGTAACAAAATAGTTAGTTCAAGTGTGGGTACTGGTTAGTATGATCTTCAAAGTTGGAGGACAAAAAATGCATATTAGGAAATAACAAGGGACTATTAATGTAACTCACTCATTCTCTGATTCTCTCAATCAAAACGGTGGATCACGAGTCTTTGCCAACGAGTTGAAAATCCAGAAAACAAAGAGAAAATCTAACCGATCGGTGCACCAAACTTCCGACCAAATCAGCCGACACACACTCAAGTTTGATCATCTGTTCGAGTTCCGGCGTCAAAATGCCTTCGACGTTAACCCAGACGCAGAGGTATGCCGCCGGAGCTTTATTCGGGTTGGCCCTAAACCAAACGCAAATTCACCAAACCTTTCCGTTAGGGTCCTCCTCCGATGAACTAACCGAAGAACGTGGTAGCAATGCAAGCAGTACCGATTCGGTCAGCGAAGATCCTCAGCTATGGGTCAACGAGTCATGTGGTCTGCTCCGCCCTATTTTCAGGTTTTAGTCCGACTTATTTTATCAAACATCATTCATACTGCAATTCTAATCGTAGCCACTGCTAAATTTTATCTGCTAATTAAGAGACAACAGTTGTACTATAAGTTCTTGTGATGGCGATTTGTTACAAATAACAAATTTTGTCAACAACAGGTTTCTAGATATCGACAAATCAGCTTGGTATGGCCTAGAGGAAACAGCTGGTTCTTCTCCAAGTCGCCATGTTGGAGCTGTATGTAACTTTATAACACACGAAATACTTTAAACACAATCACCTTAACAACCATACTCTTCCCTTACTTATGACAGCCATTATTGATAATTTACAGTTCTTAAGATTACTCGGGGAAGAAAGTAGTGATGTTTCTTCAGAAGTATCAGACCAGGAACTTGCTTTATCCAATGCAGTCGATGCCATGGTGGCAAGTATAGAAATAACTCCCGAGGATTATAAATGGAGAAAAGAGAAGCAACGTGCATATGCACATGATTGGCAGGAGAAGTTTGCCAGTAGCGATTCAAAATCTGAACTTGAAAACAAGATGAAAACAGAAGAGGAAAAAGATTGCAATTCCCATTCAACATCTGAACTTGAAAACAAGATGAAAACAGAAGAGGAAAAAGATTGCAATTCCCCTAAAATTGAACAGGAGACTAAAGAAGTGGCTATTGCATCCAACAGTGTCACTGTAGAACAGCCTATTGAAGAGGTGAAGATGCTTGGTTATGGAAGAAAAGTAACAGTCCTATATGAGCTTCTTTCAGCTTGTCTGGCAGATTTACCCGAAGATAATAACAGTAAATCTAAGAGACAGAAAAAAGGTTATGATGCTAGACATCGTGCGGCTTTACGGTTGTTAACAGCATGGTTTGACCTCAAATGGATCAAAGTGGTTAGTTAGTTTTTCTTTTCCTAAAATCATTCTTTTGACTTCTGTTCCACATTCCAAGAGGGCGTTTTTGTCATTTCAGGAAGCGATTGAGATTATAGTGGCTTTATCTGCAATGGCTATATTGAAACAAGAAGAAGCAAAGGAAGAGGAGCAAGCACCAAAAAGCATGTGGGCTAAGTGGAGACGTGGAGGTATTATTGGAGCTGCTGCTTTAACTGGTGGAACTTTAATGGCGATTACTGGTGGTATAGTTATAGTTATAATATCCCAAACTTTTTAATTCTTTTAGTAAATTAATGTTATCTGTATAATGGAAAATTATATTTTGAACAGGTTTAGCAGCTCCAGCAATTGCTGCAGGATTTAGTGCTATAGCACCAACATTGGGTGCAATTATACCAGTGATTGGAGCTGGTGGTTTTGCTGCTGTTGCTACAGCTGCAGGAAGTGTTGCAGGTTCTGTTGCAGTGGCTGCTTCATTTGGAGGTGAATAAAGAATAAAGATTTAAGAATCACATATCTTTTTTTATTTTCTTTTCCTGAAATAATAAGTAAATCTGTAAATGTGATTGTTATAGCTGCTGGAGCTGGGCTTACAGGGACAAAAATGGCTAGAAGGACAGGAAGTATTGATGAATTTGAGTTCAAAACCATAGGGGACAATCATAACCAAGGCGTGAGTTATTTATTTATTTATTTATTTTTTATAAATATCTTTTGGGTTTGTGTCATATAATATGTGACCATTAAAGGTTACAATGACCAAATAAATACAAAATCATCAAGCTAAGTGGCAAACTCACCTTGTTTGAAAGAATGGTCAAAAGGGTAAATGGGTAAAACTATAAGGGTCATATTATATGACATAAAGCCTTTGTTTTTAGTTCCCTAGTGTATATTGTAATGATATTTTGTCATAAACCTTGTGTTAAGTAACAGAGGTTGGCAGTTGAGATATTGGTGTCAGGATTTGTCTTTGAGGAGCAAGATTTTATAAGGCCTTGGGAAGATCAACTTGATAACATGGAAAGGTGTGATGAAGATCAATTTTTTACAAACTTTTTGGTTGATGATTTAATAGCATTATTTCTTCAGGTATGCATTGCAATGGGAATCTAAGCATTTGATTGCTGTAAGCACTGCAATTCAGGACTGGCTTTCATCAAGTAATTAATTATTCAACCTTCGAAATTAACTGAACATAAAAATTAAATAGTTAGGTTATTTTAATTTTTTGATATGATAATATGATATGGTCCAGGTCTTGCAATGGAGTTGATGAGACAAGGTGCAATGCTGACTGTATTAAGCTCTCTTTTAGCAGCTTTAGCCTGGCCTGCAACTTTACTTTCATTAACCAGTTTTATTGACAGCAAATGGACAATCGCTGTCAACAGGTTTTCATTTTTATAATTTTATATTATTATTATTATTATTTTTTAAATTCCACATTACAAGTTTACAACTTTCAGTTTCCTTCCAGATCTGACAAGGCTGGAAAGCTGCTTGCTGAAGTGTTGATCAAGGGATTGCAAGGCAACAGGTTAGGTTTACTAGATTATAAAATTTATAAACTTGGAATAAAAGATTGTAAATTTGTAATTATAAATTTCAGGCCTGTGACACTAATAGGTTTCTCACTTGGAGCACGTGCTATCTTCAAATGTCTTCAACATCTAGCAGAAACTGGACATGGTAATTGCTAATTCCATGGAATCAGGTTTCTTGTTTGTAGTGGATCTTTTGGTATTATTAAATATTAATTAAAATTTCCATTTCCAGATGGACTTGTGGAAAGAGTAGTTCTACTTGGTGCACCTGTTTCTATACAAGGTGAAAATTGGGGAGCTGTAAGAAAGGTATATATATTATATAATATATTGTTGAACTTAAAATATGGAAAATTATATTTAATAAAACTTTTTTGTTTTTTAGGTAGTGTCTGGGAGATTGATAAATGCTTACTCCACAAACGATTGGATGTTAGGAGTAGCCTTTCGTGCTAGGTATATATTGTTGAATCATTTAAATTTATAATATGGAAATTATTATTACTATCAATAAATATTTAAAAATACATATCAAACCTGGAATTTAATTATATGGTTAAACAACAACACTACAGTCTCCTGACACAAGGATTAGCTGGAATTCAGGCTGTGGATATTCCTGGAATTGAGAATGTGAGTTTGCAGGATTTGGTTAATTTATTAATATTATATTATATTTGTTTCTTATAAATATAAAATGATAATTAAGTTTTGTTTTGTGTTGTATGAGTTAACAGGTTGATGTTACAGAACTGATAGATGGGCATTCATCTTATTTATGGGCTACACAGGAGATACTTGATCGTTTGGAATTAGAAACTTATTACCCGGTTTTTAAAATAAATCGCAACATAACTTAAGTTAAGGTGGGATTCCTAAATGTACAGTTCTTGCGTTCTTGGTAGATATATATGTCCACAAAAGTTTTTATGTAAAGTATCATTTTTGTTTTGTTGATAGAATGTTTAATTAAATATATACTTTAATGCTTTAAGAGCATTGTAATAAGAACAAAATAATCATAAGTTTAGATAAGGAATAATCGGAATGAGCAACGCTTGCTAACAAAGGATTGAATTCAACAATTTGTGCCCTTTGAACTAATTGGACCGAGTATTCTAAATCTATGGTTATAAATCGGTGAATCATTGTTGAGGAAGTCTGTTTACATTGAAGGTTTTTAAATACACACATAGCAAAATATTTGAAGAAAATACAATACCGAGGTTAAGCCCAAGAAGATCAAGAACACACTTGATTTTTTCACACCTTGATCCTATAAAAATGTAAAAAACCAACTCATCAATCCTCGCAAAGAATGCTGTCCCCTAAGAATTTGTGTGTTTTAGGATCACCAACAATTTTTTTATGTCATTGGATGATGTCTTTTATAGAGAGTAAAACTCATGACTCACATGATAGAATCGTTTCAGTTACATAGCATGCGTCAGAGAATATTTCCTTTGTACTATCAAATATGAGGATGTCACCTTACAAGATCTTATGGAGAAGGCCAACGATGGATCTTTCTATAGATGAAGATCTTACGATAGATGAAGCTATTACTTGACTCGTAAGATCTTCAAACTTGCAATAATCATCTGGCTGATCATGAATAAACAAAGTTAAGATATGACAATCCGACTTACAAATTGTCACCAACTAGTCTAGAAAGACATTCTTTCTTATGTAATCAAATGAGTTAGAGACCAACAATTTCTAACTTCTTCGTCTCTTAACGAAACTCTTTGTGTAGAAATGAAGGCTATGTGTTACTAATGCTAAAATGTATGTTTACATTACTATTCCTCACATTTCAGTTGAAGTGAGTGTCATAAAGTAGTTCTTAGGATGAACTTAAAGTTAGAAGTAATGGTTTTGTAAATATAGAGGTGTTTTAGAAGAAGATGACACAAAACATATGCAACATCCCAAAATTTTAAGACCAAAAATTTCATTTTTAGTTTAATAATTTATAAAACCAACGGTATAAAAACATCCATAAAAACATCCCATGTCAAAACCAAAGTGTCAATAATCAAAACATGTTATCATAAAACAATATCATAGTGTAATCCCAAAGATCTCATGTGCGGAAAACATAGTGTGATGCGCTGCGATCACCAACTCATTTCCTTTGAAAACGAAGTACCTGAAACCAAAACTGAAAACCGTAAGCACGAAGCTTAGTGAGTTTCCCTCATCATACCACATACCATACAATAAACATATTGCCAGACATATCTGGGTGCCAAGCTTACCCTGCTGAGCATATCTGGGTGCTCAACCTACCCTTGTCAGGCATACCGGGGTGCCCGACCTACCCCTGTCAAGCATATCTAGGTGCTCGATCTACCCTGCCAGGCATATCTGGGTGCCCGACCTACCCTCCGGTTTATTTCAACCGGTTACGGGGACTATTTCATCCCTACCACTACCACATAATAACATAGCATAACATACTGTCAAACATATCTGGATGCCCAACCTACGCTGTCGGTCCTTACAACCGATACTGGGGTCTATCCACCCCTCCTACCACTATCACATAATATCATAACATAACATACTGTCAGACATATCTGGGTGCCCGACCTGCCCTGTCGGTTTATCTTAATTGGATCCGGGGACTACTCCCCTGTTGGATTAGGTGTCTAAGCCCATAACTATAATTGGTATGTACTTGAATTGACAGCAGCACAGTCCTTTTGGGTTGCCCTCAACCTAGCAACTGGACAAGGAAATTATGAAAGGAGAGATATTAATTTATAAGATTAATAAATTAATATATATATATATAAATGATTTATTAATATGTTAATGGATTAATATATTAATTAGAAATCATTATGTTTAATTAATTGTTAGCCAGAAATTAATCAGAATTGATTTTGGGGTTAAAAGAATTAATTATAAGGTGCAGGGACTAGTTTGCAATTATCTAATAGTTGAGTGGAAGGCTCTAGAACCCCCTTGGAAGAGGGTGGACGAAATCTTTAGGGGAAACCCTAATAATTTCGTCCATAGGGGCTTGGATAAGGCCCTTGGGTTTGCTTAGGCCCTAAGCAAAGGATAACTAGGGTTTCCCTTAAACCCTAGATCCCTCAGCTATATAAGGAGCCTCCTGGTTCATGTTTTTGGTGACTCTTTCTTTTGAAGAAACCCTAAGGCCGAGATTTTGCATACTCCCTCTCCCTCTCTCTTCTACTTTCCTTCTTGCTAGTTTGGGTGTGACTCCATTAGAGGCATTACACTTGTGGTGCTAAAGCTTCCAAGAAGATCAAGATCAAGATCAAGGGAATATCAATTGTTTGCTATAACAATTGAAAGGTATGTAAACCCTAAACCCTAGTTTACTATTTTCGATAGCCTCTCTCCTCTAGGGTTCTTGTTTGCAATTCAAAGTTGTATGTTCAATAGTTAAAACATAGATCCAAAGTAGGTTGCATGTGAACTTAGGAATTGTTTTTCTAGTTTATTTGTTTTACCTAAAACCCTATAGTGGTATCAGAGCCATTGTTGTTTTAAATTGAATTGCTACAATTGTTGAATTGCAAATTAGGGTTTATAGCTATTAAACCCTAAAGGCCAAAGTTTCGATTTCTAGGGTTTTGGATCAAAGGGTTTTTTTCGAAAACCCTAGCCTCCAAAGAACCCTAATCGAAATTAGGGTTAGGGTTTTGAAAACCCTAGCCTCCTCCCTTATGAATTTCAAAATATGCTAAGAGGATAACTAGGGTTTCTTGTTTTTGGATAATTGTTACTTAATTAGATTAATTGGATAATTATCCTTACCCTATTTTTCGAAATTAGAGGGATAAGGATTAGGATTAAATTAATTGATTAATTTAATTAGATAATCCTTACAAGATTTAATAATTTGATTAATAGTTAATTAATAGATAAATATTAAATCTAGTTAATTGGTTTATTTAAATTTGAATTTAATAGCTTAAATTTCGAAATTTATATAAACCCTTGAAGTTTTAAAATGTTTTAAAACACACCTTATATATATATTATAATTAAAAGTTTAATATTATATATGTATAAGAATATGGTCAGTCAAATCGCTAGTATGCCTCATTCACGAAGCTAATCTATAAGGGGGTATAAGGAAACTGCCTATAAAATGGTAGTTGAATGGGTGTCCACTCTCACCCACCGCTTCCTTGATTAGTGGAGGGTCGTTAGCAGAACGGATTTGATAGGACAACTACTTCTCATTAAAAGTATAATGATATTAAAGAAAGTACTAGAACATTATTTTCAAAATCCCAACTCTAGTTACTTTAGGAAAAATGTGAAAAGTATGCTAATCCATGAAATTGCACATTATGCTTTATTGGTCGTTAGTGGAGCGTGTGTGGTTAACCAGCACACTAAAAGGCACTAATAAAGAGTAGTAATGGGTATCTCATAATTGTCATTTTGATGGAGCGTGTGTGGTTTACCAGCACATCAATAGTTAATGATAAAGACAATGAGGTTACCAAGCACATTTGCATGGTTATTCACATCTTGTTTGTGATCCTCGGCATCCCAGTCACAAATAGAAGAGCATAATCTGAGATTAAAACATGCCATTGAATAGTTTCAATGTATCTCAAAAGAATTAGGAATTTCACTTCGTTTGTTTCGTCTAATGGTGGAATTGGTGAATCGTCATTCACCTACCTTTATGAAATTTGCACTTGGATCTCGGCATCCCATTTCTAAGTTGTGAATCTTCATAGTTGGATCCTAACCTTGATATTATATCTTTGGGTTATTCTATTAAGGTATCTTGAAATCTAACTAAAACTTTCTTTCTTTTCAGATGTCTACTCCTGGAAACACTTCTGCTTCATCCTCCTCCAACCAGAACTTCTCTTTGCTCAATATCTGCTCCAAAGTCGTTATGGATGGCTCAAACTATAACGATTGGATGCGCAACATCAAGATGGCTCTTCGTTTCGAGAACAAAGAATATGTTCTTGAAAAGGAGCTCAAAGAGCTTGATGAGAATGAAGCTACTCCTGAAGATCTTGCTGCCTACAAGAAACATTACGATGATGCTACCAAAGTGGCATGCATCATGGTGGCAACTATGTCCCCAGAACTGCAGAGGTACTATGAGGACTACTGGCCTTTCGAGATGAACAAGGACCTTATGGAAAAGTACCATAAGCGAGCTCGTCAAGAAAAGTTCGAAGTAGTCAAGTCACTCATGGCTTGCAAGATGAAGGATGGGGAGTCGGTAGTGTCACATGTGCAAAGAATGCAACGCTACATAGAGCGTTTGGTCAAGCTCAATATTCACTTTGATGAGGAATTGGCCATTGACATGGTCTTGAACTCACTTCCTGAATGTTATGGTCAGTTTATTCTAACTTACCATTTGAACAATACTGAGCAGACCTTGGCCCAATTGCACAACTTGTTGCAGACAGCTGAGGCAGGGATGAAGGTAAAAGTATACCCTCCACACCTGCTAGTGCCCCTGTTTTGGCTATTGGACAGGGAAAGGGGAAAAAGAGGAAAGGTCCTCCCAAGCAAAACTGGAAGAGCAAGGCTCAAGCTGGGTCATCTAGTAATGGCCCAAAGGCTAAGCCCAATGGTTCCACTCCCCATGTTTCTGATCCAAAAGAGGCAGTTTGCTTTTACTGCAACCAAAAGGGCATTGGAAGAGATCTTGCCCACAGTATCTGCAAGATATCAAGGATGGCAAAGTGAAGCCATCTTCGGCAGGTATTTACACTATTTCTGCTAATAACTCATTATCTTCTCGTTCATGGGTCCTTGATACAGGATGTGGTTTTCATATCTGTTCTGATTTGCAGGGTCTAAAGGAAAGTGAGGAGAGATAAGGAAGGATGGGACCTGATCATGGGAAACAGAAAGTCTTCACCAGTAACCAAGATCGGAGTTTATCAGCTT